CGTAGGCTGCAGCCCCTGCGGCAGTGGGTTGCCATGGGCTACCGTGTGTAGCCAGCAGCCAGCATGAGCAGCCAGCAGCTGCAGTGAGCGGCCGTCCAGAAGCCGGCGACTGATCTGCCTCACCAGGGAAGAGCGCAATGATGGTGCCAACTTGGGCCAGTGAAGCAACGTCCTCCACAACTAGACTGAAGAACAAAAGGACAGCAACTTGTCTGTTCCCCTTCCCCCAATTCCCCAGCACTGTTCCCATCCCCCCAATTCCCCAATAAAAATCTTTTTTAAAAAATGTCAGTTACAGGATGAATAGGTAGCACATGCCATAAGAAGATGTTTTGAAACATGCTCAAATAGTAAACATGGAGAATGACAAGGGAAGTCCCAATATATTTCAAATCCCACTTTGTAGAGGTAACTCTCCAAGACAAATTAAAATTAATAGTAAAAATGTTAATACATTTTTAAAAGAAATTTCACTTGGAAATAAAATTCTCAGTGATTCCTGGATTACTAGGTAATGGAAGTTATAAAATATTTGTAACTAAACCACACTGAAAATACAAAATACTTTTGGGATGCAGCACAAGCAATATTTAGAAGAAAGAAAGGAAGAGATGAAGGAAAGAAAGAAAGAAACATAAGTTTGGTGTTTAACTCAAGAAGTTATAAAAGTAACAAAGTAAATACCAATTAGAAAGAAGAAAATAATAAAGATGGCTGGAAATACATGAACTGAAGGCAAAACAGAAAGAAATAAAACAGAAAAAAAATTAAAAGTGGACTCTGAAAACACCGATGAAATGGACAAATCTATAGCAAGACTGATGAAGAAAGAAAGAAAAAGTGCAAATAAATACTCTGGGAAGGCAGAAGGGAGTCCAGTCACAGATGTAAAAGCTCACAATCACCACAGGAAAATACTGTGAGCGATACTGTAGCAGACACAGGCAGTCGCTGTGTCTGTGTCATGATACATTATGAAATGCTACACTCTGATTCAACACGATATGGTATGTTATGCTAGCACAACCCTAACACTCAGTGGCTTAAACACAACAGAAGCGTCTTGCTGCAGGACCAGTGTGGGTGGGAACCTGCCAGAAGTAGTGCCTTAGGAATCCAGGCCGATGGAGGAGGCAACTCCTCCACATGTGCTTCCATGGTCCTCACAGCTGGAGAATCTAGGACTTTCCATCAAGAGCATATTCTTCCTGTGCAGCGGGCTTGGAGACCTGCTGCTCAGATGGCTCTTCAAGAGAGAACCTGCTGTGAGCAGTGAAGTTGGCGGACAGCACCCAGCGGTTGGCACTTCAGGATCTGCTGTTGTGTTCCAGCTGAGGTCCGGATCTCCTTGGGCAGCTTGCAGCCCATCATGGTTCCTAGGGCCTGTCTATCTCTGTCCAACCAGGGATTACCCGCATGGGCAATTTGCGTTTGAAGTTCCTGTGGGCTTTGGCCAAGACTTTCTCGGAGCTGCACCACAGTCAGAGCGTCTTCCTGCCCAGTCCGCTTTATGTATCTCGTCTTATTTCCCCCATAGGTGTCAGACCTGCAATGCAGCTGCAAGGCTTTTCCTGCCTGCTTTTTGATCCCTTTCCCTGTATCTTTCATAGTATTACCCGTAACAATCTCTTGCATTCCTGCCTCCTGACTCCCAGCAGACCAAAATTCATAGAGCCTCTACGTCATATTTCACTTTTACTCACGTCATTGGCCAAAGCTAGTCATCATGTCCACCCCCATCTTCAAGGGAGTAGGAAGCCAATTCCAAAACATAACTAGATCACATATGTGATGTCTTCCACAATCACTGATTAAACAGCTATTCATTATTTCCCCTTCCTCCTCCCCCCCCACCCCCCCCACACACAGTTTTGTTCAGGTGTCTATCCTGTATTTCCTGTCATGACTCAGGGGTAAATTGTAACTTACCAATGCTAATTACAATCATCCTGTTTACCTTCCCAGTGGTTGGATCAGGAAAGAGCATATGACCCAATTCTGTCCAATGAAATGAGAGAGGAAGTATCCTGGCTTTAAAAGGGGACAGGAAGGGGGGAAAGACCCCTTTTTATTGCTGAGATGTTGTGTGTGGGTGTGCCACTCAGAGCTGAGACAGCCATCTTGTAGCATGTCAACAGGGGAAAAAGAGAAAAACAAAAATAAAACTCAGGCTGGCTAGCTTTTGTGGAGAGCCTTTTGGGGAAGAAAAAGCATGAAAATTGAGTCTTATTTACTCCATGTTCTCCTGCCTCATGCTTTCTTTTTCTTATCAGATCAATTTCAGTCACACACCTCTTCTCTCTCCTTCACACCACATCAGTTCTTGTTTGAAGAATGAAAACAACCACTAAACGATGTGATTTAGCTGGCACGAGAAAGAAGCCAAAATTGACCAGTCAGGAAATGAGGCATGCATTAATAATTTTCTTTTGACTGATTGTTTTTAAAAACATCCAAATGCAATGAACTGTTGTCTATAAAATAAAATAAAGTCCTAAAAAGGAAACACTAGGCTACTCTTTTACTCCACATTAGGGAGAGGACTGACATTTATATGCCTGACACTTTATTAGGAACTTATCATATATTGTCTCATCAAATGACTTTGCATTGCTCTTTGAATAAAATTTTAACTCCTTACCAAACCCATTAGACCCAGTGTGATCTGGCCTACCTCTCCAGCTCCCCACCTCTATCTCTGCCTTAGTCTAGCCATCCTGGCCTTTTCTCTCTTTATGAAACATGCCCAGTGTGTTCCTGCCTCAGGGCTCTTGCACTTACCATTGCCTCTGTCTACAATGCTCTTTCCTTGGCCTCACATGTCTGATTTTTTCTCATCAATCAGGCTCAGCTAAAATACCCCTTTCTCAGAGAGCCCTTCCTTGACCATCCCTAAAATAGCATCTCTCCCTTCCCCCTAGTCACCTATTCCAGTGCCCTGCCTTATTATTTTTTTTCTCCATCACACTAATCTGAAATGAACTTTTGTTTGAGTTTGATCTGTCTCCTCTGACTAGGTTTTTCCTCTGTGCCCTGTCCACTGCTATATCTCAAGCATTTAGAAAAGTGGCTGGTACAAAGGTGATGTTCAGTGTACATATTATTTACAAGGGTCAACATTCTCCAGCCAAAAAACAACAAGGACATACCAGTAGTTGAACAAGTTTGGTCGATTCCTCATTGTAGTGAAAGAGAATGCACACCACAGGAAACCATGAGGCATCTCAGTAACAGGCTGTGCTGGGATGTTCTTTAAAAAAATCTGTTCTCTAAGGCAGGTCGGCTGGAATGGGGGTAAAACTGTAACTGGTAAGAAAGGAGTAGTCATTCATACTAGCCAGGATTGGGTGATGTTGGGTGTTTTTGTGGCTTGCCGGTGACCTTGTTTTTGTCATACTTAGTTAGGCAAGATTACTGAGTGGTCTTATTTTTGGTCTCACTTCCGCACTGTTGGAGTGGCCTTGTCTGACACTGTGCAACTGTGTTTAATGGGAGAGCATGAAGCCCTAGCTATGAGTGGCAGGCCAGTGTCTGGATGTCAGGGCCCATTTTCCTCTTTCTTGTAAGTGTCCTAGGGCGGGAGTCCAGTGTCAGACAGTCCAGAAATAAGCAAGAGTATTTCTGTTGGCTGTTTGCCTCTCCACTAGTTCTGGATTTGTGTGGGGATAGCCACTGAACCAAGAAAGTGGAGGCCAAGGGAGAGAAACAATGCTTCTAGAAGTCAGACAAGTCAGAGACATCCTTATTTGCCCAAGAATTAATTACCTACTCAGCACAAGTCCAGATATTGGATGGTATATATTTTGTCTCCTGAGTGATAGGATTATCCATTGCCGAGGTCTGTTGAACAGTCCACCAGGGCCTTGGTTCTGCTTCAAGGTTTTCTCTAAACACAACTGCATGGCTTTAGGAAAGCCTTCGAACCAGCTCCCAGCATCCTCTGGGCTCCTACAGCACCCTGTATTCTTCTGTGAACGTCCCTGCTATATTGTAATTAATTTGTTTATAATCAGCCTGCCTGGTTAGACTGGCTCCCACATGTTTGTATCTCTGGAACTTAATTTTAACAAAGGACTTGGCATAGGCTGGGCTCTCTATAAATATTAGATGGATTTAAAATGGAGATTTAATTCCTGGCTTGACTTCACCTCACAAAACATTTATTGAGTCTGTACTATGAGCCAGGAGGACATTATGATAAATTAGTTAGTCCTTCCCTTCAGGGAATTAGTATTCAGTTCTGATAGAGTTACGGAAAAGAAGAATAGCTGGCGGTTATTTAGGATCAGGCACTGTGTTAGGTGCTTTTCCTGTGTACCTGAGTTGTTATGGCCATTTTACAGGTACGACAACTGATACGCTAATGGGTTAGGTAACTTTGCTGAGGTCACAGGGCAGAGCAGAGATTGTAGCTTGGACAATCTGTCTGACTCCAGTAACACTTGCCCAACTATTAGGGTGAAACGTGTCATGTAAATTCACAATTCTGTCACTAATTCAAAGTGGAGGTTCCAGGTTATGGAAATTGTGGCCCTCCTTGTAAAGTGGAGTAGGTTAATATAACGAACGTGGGGGAAATTTATGTTCTTTATTAGGCAGTGTGGATTGGGGAACAGAACAACATTAGTTTTCTGTTAAATCAGAAATGAATTTCGGTTTGGCTTCAGACCTGAACATCACTCAGTCAATAACGTTTATTGGGAGCCCACGGTGCGCAAAACAGGTGTTCCTGTCACTTCCTCTGTCCCCACATCCTGGAGGAGGGAGGGGAAGTGGGGAACGGAAAAGAGAAGGCAAAGAGGATGTGGAGAGTGGGCAGGTGTGTATCCCCATCTCCTCCTCCGCACTCCCGGTGTGCGCGCCGGCCACGCCCCTCAGCCTCGCCCTCACCCCCAAACCCACTTTAAACTCCCGCCCCCTCTTAACAACGACCAATGCTGGGCCGGGGAGCCCACAGGAGGCTGTGGATTGGCCGGAGCCGCGGTTGCCGAGGTGACGGGTGTGCCCGGCGGGGTCCAAGAGCTGGGTGGGGGATAGGGGTACCCAGCGATTTCCGCCCTGGCTTGCCCCGGCCCGCCGCGCCCTGGCCCGCGCCCATCGGCGGCGGGAGGGGGCGGCCCCCGCTTGTCCCCTGGCCCCGCGTGCCCTCCGCGGGCCTCCCGCTCGGGGCGCACCGCCCTCCGCCTCCGTCACCGCCCCCAGGACCTGCGGCTGCCAGCTTGCAGCGCCGCGTCCCCGGCCAGCGGCGCGATGGGCTGCGGGAACTCCACCGCCACCGGCGCGGGCCGAGGTGAGAGCGGCGGGCGGCCAGGGGCGCGGGGACAGCGGAGAGGTCCGCAGGGTGGGCCGTCTCAGCGAGAGAGGCGGCGGGAAGGAAGGGTGCAGGGACCTGGGGCGGGAGGGCGTGCAGCCTCCTCTCCTTGTCCCCATTTTGCGGACTGGAGCAGTTCGCCCGCTTTTGAAACGACCGAAAGCAGGGCATTTCCTGCGAGCGGGGGCGGTCACGCCTGGACGAGGAGCGCCTGCCGGGCGGTCCTGCGGAGGGAGCGCGGCAGCACCGGCGGCCGGGCTCCCCTGGCTGGGCATCCTCCTGGGGGAGAGCTGTGCCCAGCTGTGGCCCCCGTCTGCGCCCTCCGCTCCCACACCCGGTCCCCCAGGGCTCGCTCCCAGCTCCTCGGAACCCAGACGCTGCACCTGGAAAGTGCAGCACAACAATTCAGGACTTTTTTGGTGGTGGTGCTGGGGGGGGATGCGAGTGGGATTGACAACTGCAAATAGGGCTCTAAAAATTCATCTGAGTCAGTCTTGATGCTTAAGACCTGATGGGCTGTTTGTAGGATTTCTCTGAGAGGCTGCAGCATATAGGAAGCTTTAGATATGTGTGACAGTTTTAATACTAGCAGTGATCTCTTCCTATATTTTTCATTTAAGAAATGAAAACATATTGAAACTTTTTTTTTTTTTTACACCACTTCGTTTTGTTGATTGACTGGCGAGGTCTTCTAGACTCCCGCAGTCAGCCAGGCTCTGTATCAAGTGGCTTGTTCCAAAATTCAACCCTTTTCTTTAGCCAAGCAGGCGCCTCCAGATTTGAGAGTCTGGATTTGTTTTGAATATTTGTTGACCTAATTTGGGGTCCGTTAGGATAAAGAACTTGTATCTCCTCCAACGGAGATCAATCAGATACCACATCACATCCCAACCAGCAAATGTAAACAGTGGTCTGATGCAGCAGCAACTCCTAGGCCAGTGGGATGCCCTGTCAATGAGTTCGTGACCTTGGGCCTGTCACTTCCGTTAACCCAGACCTTGGTGGAAGATGCAGTTTAAAATGCAGTTCAAGCCTTATTTGTTTGTTTATTCTAAAGTTTATTTTGATGCTCACATAATGAGTTCAGATATGGAAACCTGCTCAGTGAATTGGTCAAGTTTGTTTTTCTTCTGTGGCTCTCCAAGACCACACATGGAGTATTTTAAGAGAAGGCACTAAAATAGTTGGGATTCTACTCCTAGAGCTATGACTGAATCCAGGCAATGATTCATTGAAAAGTTTATCCCTTACAGATAATCTTCATCATCTTGAATTAAATTCCCATCCTTATGACATGCAGAGAGCCACCGGGGAACAAGCCTTTTCTGTTCATGTAACAGTGACAAGGTTAGTTAGCGCGTTCTGCTAAGGAGGGCAAGAACAGTATTCTCACCTGAGAGTGTCCAGAGAGCTCTGTGTGGAAACCTGGAACAATGTCAAGGCCACATCCCACGCCACGGATTACATCTTTCAATCTAATGTGCCCTGGGGCCCCATTCCATCCACTGTGTGTGCACCTTGCTTTAAAGAAGATTCAGGACAATTATCCATAGTAAAAAAAAAAAATTGTAGAAAGGATTTGTAACAGACATCCTTTAAAGTGGAGCTCCTTTAGTTCATTTACATTTTTATTTTTTAATGAAACTGCTTGTCAGGTTTGAAGACAAAGGGAGGAGTCCCATTTTACTAAAATCAGAATGATGATTAGGTATCTCTGAGATGGTAACATAAGAAAACGGGAAAATGTGATTCTCCTTACAAATGTTGGGTTGATTTTTTTCCTCTCTAGGAGCACATCTCTTACTACATCAAGGGAGGTATGGTTATATTGAAAAAACCACTGAAAGCTCATGTCTTCTCGATGAGTAGCCTCACTTTTGTTTATGAAAGACAGCTCATGCAAGAGCATGTTGTTCTCTCCTCTGGCTTGCTCTTTGCTAAAAATTACTCTGTGTTCAGAGCAGAGCAAGATAGCGAGCGCAGACTGTAAAACATTAGGAAAAGAAAACATCATGAACAGGGAGTTATTGCATCACCTCTTTCAGGGATCTGCCCTTGTCTTTGAGAAGTCATTCCCCAAACATTTTCCTGCCAGTGAATCCAACTGGCTAGCTCTGGGATTTGGTCATTGTTATTTTGACATGTTCTGTTAGCTGGTGGTAGGACTTCAGCTTCAGCAAGGGCATACGTCAGGATGGGAGATGTAAGGTTAAGGAAAATAAATCAGAGTGCAGAGGTACTTAAATTCCTTTTAATTGTGAACTTTGACATCAGCATCCAGTATACTCTTGACCAAGCTTTGTGGTATTGAACCCAAGCACAATGAAATGCATTAGACACGTGTTGTCCCAGTGCTCCAGGCGCTTATAATGCACAACTTCTGAAATGTCCCAGGAGTCATACAATTCAGTAGCCATGCTTAAGCTTTTCAGCATTAAAAAAAAAAATATGGTGGGAAGGGTGCTGAACTTGAACTTGAGCCTGGAGAGTGAGGCTAAAGCTTGACTTTGGCACTGTGCTGGCTGTGTTACTATGGGCATTTCATTTCACTGTTTTGCATTCCAGAGTGAACGCAAAATTATGGAGTGTACTGTAATTATTCTAGAGCAGTGACCATCCCCGCTCGGGGGAATATTACCACGTTGAAAATGAAATGTCTTTCCCTGAATATTTTTCTATGAGAACATGGCAAATCCACTTTTAAAGGATGTGTTAACACTTTATAATAATGCCCCTGAACCTGAAATCTTCATTATAAACCCTATTTTACTCTAAGTAATTCAGATAAAACCAGATAATAGTGTTTTCTTTCCCTGAACTATCTGGTCAAATGCCTTTCTTGGCTTTTGTCTGGTGGAACTGGTTAATATGACACATTGGTATTTAGTAGTGTACTTGAGTAAATTTGATTCTGTGTGTCCAGTATGTGGAAAAACCAATATGCAGTGAAATCGTCAAATAGCCAGAAGGCATCAGCCTCTCGATCAGTCAGGCTAAATTTCCTTTACAGAAGATTTCTAGCTGTGAACTTAACCCCCCCCCCCCCATTATGTGCACAGCACTGTACTCTACCAGGAATTTAGGGCAAGTGCCAGGGTAGCCAGCAATGGATGGTTGTAGAATGAAATCAAACTTTCTTGCCCTTGAGAAGCTGGTAGTCTTGATAGGAAAATTAACCATTTGAGAACAATTGCAAAGCGAAGTATAATAGAATACACATGAACATCCACGTGTCTAGGAGATGCTAAATAACATAGTTTAATCAGAGAAAGCTTCTGGGAGGAATTGAACCATCAGTTTAAATGGGATCATGAGAGCCATTTTGATTATACAATAGCTCTCTCCATTTTAGTGTTTTAGTAATATCACTCTTCTTATAGGAATTTGATTTTCCCCAACAGAACTATAGTAGGAGGAATTCTTGTATTTTCCATTCAGTGAAGATTCAGCACATTTTTCTTGTGTAGTCTAAAGTCTAGTCCCTAAACTATAGAGAAACATCTGGATTAAATAGTCCATTTTTTTAATTAGCTGAGCCATCCTGCCACCTGTTGGCAGCTCAGCGGCTGCTCAGCTTGGGCCGGGACTCGAACCGCTGTTGCTCAGAGCTCAAACTCTTAAGCGAGCCCTTAACCAACTGAGCCACTCAGCCGGCCCAAATAGTCAAATTTTTAAAGAGTTATATTTAACACTAAGGCAGGTAGCTTTTGCTCACTCAGTCTCTCACCCTCACCTCTCTGTCTCAGCAATCAGATTCTCTAGCCCTTTGTTTTCCTTTGAACATATTTCCTAACTAGGCAGAGAAACGAGCAAGCCTGCATTTGAGCTAATGATCTACAACAGGTCAGTCATTCCCTCTTATACAGCCACACATATAGATTGTAAAATGAGTCTGTAATATAAACCAGAAAATTTCTTAAAAGTTTGAATGGATCTGTATATCTTCAATAACCTATTTCATTGAAGGCTAAGGCTATAGCAATTGTTTGCAGCAGCAGAGTTATTTCAGAAGTATTCTGTTCATGATAGTTGAATTGGTTAGTTGTAGTTTTTCTATGAGAGGTATGTCACTGGCAACTATCTGACCATGACTTTGTGGGTGGTTTATTATCAGAATACTTCTATCGTAGTTCTTCTGCTATTTGTATAACAGTAGTCTGAGGAGGAGGAGTTTAATAACTATTTATCCTATTTTATCATTGTACTCAGGGAGTTAATATAATTGTTTTGGTTCTAATTATTTAGATTAGTTGTCTTCTCATCCTCAGTTAGATAATTACCATTCTCTTCTTTTGATGTAGCTGTATGGTCCAGCTTTAATACACCTATCAATGCTTTGGTAGTATCGAAATGCTGCCATTGTGGTTAGCATTAGTCCAGGCCTAATAGTGGGGGAAATGCTACAAAATTTTGTTGATATCATCAAGAAGTCATTTGTGATTTCTGGTAAAGATAGTGGAGTAAATGCTGTAATTGCCTTCTCTCACTACCACATCAAAATTACAACTAAACTACAGAACAACCATCATGGAGAATCACCTGAAATCTAGCTGAACAGAAGTCCTATAACTAAGGACATACAGAAGAAGCCATGTGGAGACTGGTGGGTGGGGCAGAGACGTGGAAGGGCTGGTCCCACACCTGTGTCTGGTGATTAAAAACCAGGAGGGATATCTTGGCTGTGCAGGTTCTGCCTTAGGAGCGAGGGGTCCCAGCTCTACACCAGCCTACCCAGCCCAGGTTCCCAGTGCCTAGAAGAGAAGGGCCCATAACTTCTAGCTGTGAAAACCAGCAGAGATTGTGGCTGAGTGAGACTGAGGGTGGCTGCAGTCCCAAGCGATACTCTTAAAGGGCCTGCACGTGGACTTCCTTGCTGATGGACTCACTTTCTCTGAGCTGCACTGCTGGGGCAGCAGTTTGAAAGGTGCTGGGTACATAGGGGGAGAAACTGAATTGTCTGGTTTCATGACAAGGGCTGG